ACTCACTGAACTGACCGGAAGCGATGCTCAAAGGTCAAGGGGCTCAGACGGGTCCTGGAGCCCCACCGGGTTGGACTCCTCCAAGAGATAAATATTTTTTAAAAGAATTATTTGTTATTGTTGTTGTTTTAATTTGACCAGAAAGAAACAGAGAGAGAGAGAAAGGGAAAGTGAGAAAGCAAGCCACCGGGTCTGGAAATTGAACTGCAGTCAGCCATATGGGAGTTCAGCGCCTTAGCCACCATGCCACCTGCCAACCTCGACAGAGATAATTCTTACATGTTTCTTCAAAGTATCTGTTTGCTTTAGAAAAATTACATGGTATGGTCATTCTGGCTGCCATGTAAGGAAAAATATCAAGATGCACCTTGACCAGATGGTCAAGTGAGATCAGTATCCTTCATCCTTTCTTCTATTTCCTTTGGTCACCACCATCCCCTTTATTTCATTATAGAATTATAACATTTATCGAATGAAAAAAAAAACTAAAGGGGCCAGCAGGTGGCATGGTAGTTAAGGTGCTGGACAATCACACACGGTTGACCATGGTTTGAGTTCTGGACCTGGTGGCTTGCTTTCTCACTTTCCCTCTTTCTCTCTCAGTGTCTCTCTCTGGTCAAATTAAAATAAATGACTAAATAAATAAAATTAAATTAATAATCTTTTAAAAAATAAAAGATGAGAGTTAAATATAAATTTCAGATAAACAAAGAATCATTTTAGTGTAAGTATGTACCTAATATTTGATGGGACACATTTATACTAAGAAAGAAAGAGAAAGCTTGTATTAAAAGGATATAGTATGTAATTTCATATGAAGAAAACAGGTCCACATCCATGTCTTTTCCATATTACAATGTCAATTATTGTTAACAGATGGCTCTGAGAAAGGTTAGTACCTAAAACCTGTTTGGAAACCAGGTCATTTTTTTAAGAGTTTTTTTTTTTTTTTTTTTTGCCATAGGGCACATGTGCTTGCTATATGCTTGCTGGAGAGAGACAGAGAGAGGTAGACAGGAAGCAAGAAATCACCCCCTGGGGGTGTGACCATACCACAATCCCTTCTCCTCCATTCTCCTCTTGGAGTTTTGGGCACACACACACATGTACATACATGGTGCTAATTTTTAAGCTGCCAGATCTGTAACTTGAACCACATTCCACTATGTGGGAGTCCATCGACATAACCATTTATGCAATCTGCTGGTCTTTCGCCTTTTTTAAAAATAATTATTTGTTTAATTTTATTTATTTTTATTATTTTAATTTGCTATAGGGCACATGTACTCATCCAAGAGAGACCTAGAAAGAGAGGGAAAGTGAGAAAGCAAGCTGCCAGGTTGGGACTCAAACCATTGCCACGTGGGAGTCCAGCCCTTATGAGGAGTCAGGCTTTTAGCTTTTTGTGAAAAGATCTTGTTAAAAGTCAGTTAATGGACTGAGAAAGGTTTCCATTCAAATGTAAATATATAAGACTGTTGGTTTTTATTTTTGTCATTAAATCAAGGCAAAAAGAAATGGCCAAAAGAAAAGTGACATTACCTAGAACCACCTTTTAAAAACGCAAAGAAAACATAACTTAGGATTTAAAACAAACCCGAATCTCCCATGGCTACTTTTCCAAATTCTCAAATCTTCCTGATTTTTGAAGGCCAGTCCCCCAAATAGGGGCTTATTTTTGCTACAACAGAAAATATTGTTGGGAAGATGGAGGTGTTCTATATGGGGCACCCAGGTCACTGAGCTCTTTCGTTTTTATCCCGCAGGGAACAGTAACTTCGAAGTGTTTCCAATGTAGGAAGGCCAAGCCCTAATTGTAGAAGGATTTATTAAAAAACTACTGCTGGGCTATGTGAAGACTAGATGGGCAAAGGTAGAAGCAGGGAGACAAGTTTGGAGGTATTTCCCAAAGTCCATTTTCATTCCCAGAAATAGTATTTATAATATTCATTTTGGTCGTTCTTCCTTTGAATTAACCATTTCCTTTCTCAAAGTCAACTCGATTGCTATTTCAGTGTGATCATTTATTTCCTATTACATTTTGTCCTTCACCATCTTTAGTGTTTTAGTTTAATAATTTATCAGTATAATATTCTGGAATTTTCTTTTCAGTAACTTCTTAGAGCCATCCTACTTGACTATATTTATAGAATTGGCTTAAGAAATACTATATACAGGGACCAGTAGATGGTATAGTGTTTATATCACTGGACTTCCACATGGCTGGATTGCAGTTGGATTCCCAGACCTGTTGGTTTGTAATTCACGCCAGGAGCATGTGCTTGCCCGCCCAAGATCCCAAAAGAAGAATGAAGAAGGGATTGAGGCATGGCCATCCTTCCTGGGGAGTGATTTCTCACTCTTTCACTGTATGTCTCTCTCTCTCTCTCTTTCTTTCTCTCTCAGGAGCACACATGCCCTAAGGCAAAATCCTCTTAAAAAAAATAAAAGAAATTCTACACACATCATATAGATTGTAGAATTTAATAGATCTAACATTATCCAAAAACAAGAAAAGATCTATTTAGCACTATAATCTTGATCACATTTTACCAAAAATTGAAATAGTTATAGCTTCTAAGAAGACCTATAGGTTTTCTGTTTGCATTTCTGTTTATTTCTTTGAGGACTATTGACAGAAAACTCTGCAGAAATAAAAATTAGTGCAGTGTATTGCTAAGCACGAGGATGAATGACCTGACCTGGAGAAAGACAAAAGCATTCCCCGGTGGTGCTCAGATACAGTAGTTTCGTATTTTACATAGTTCTGAGAGCAAGGAGAGTTGTCAATCGGCAAAAGGAGTCTTTTACTTTGGCCTGACCAAAAAAGGTGGGACATCTAGAAGTGGAGGGTTGTAGGTTATAAGTGAATTTGAAATTCTTATATTAGTAATTGGTTAAAGAAAAGCACAAGTCTCTGCTCCTGAAAGAAAGAAAATAATGTGCTTATCAGAAGGCTTACTATTCATCATAAAAACACTATGCCTGGAGAAGGACATAGCATCCCACCTTCTTTTTTCTTTTTGAGCGATTTTTGCTATAAAGAGACAGAGAAACAGAAAGAGAGAAATCGCCCCCCAGAGGGGATGGTCACACCATAATCCCTTCTCTTTCATTCTCCTCTCAGGATCTTGGGCACACACACACACATGCCCAGCATGAGTGCCAGTTCTAGGATTCCAACAGCAGTCACCATGTAGGATTCCAGTGCTTTAACCGCTACATCACCTGATGGCTCCACATCCCATTTTTAATAGACATAAATGGTTTTTTTTTTTTTTTTTTTTTTTGGGGGTTTTTCCTTTTGGGCGGGGGGGAGAGGTTTTCGCTATAGGGCGCGTGCATTTGCCAGACAGACAGAGAGAGACATATAGACAGAAAGCAAGAAATCACCCCCCAGGGGGAATGGTCACGCCACAATCCCTTCTCCTCCATTCTCCTCTCGGTATCTTGGGCATGCACGCACACGCGCCCGGCATGAGTTTTAAGCCACCAGGTCCGGGATGCGAACCGCAGTCGACTACGTGGGAGTCCAGCGACATAGCCATTACGCTAACTGCTGGTTCCCCATAAGTGGTTTGTTAATATTCATAGGCCTCTTCAAAATTTGTAGGTATGACTCTCTGAGGCCTATGGCAACAACTTTGGAATAGGAAAATGTGTCAGAATTCTGTCCTTAGTATCTTTTATAAGTCAGGATAAATGCATTAATCTAAAAATTTGGGGGAAAAATTAATAAATTAACATTTCCTTGCCTAGTTTATTAATATATTGATTGGTGATAATATCTAGCATTTACTTATCACTTATGTACAAAGCAATGTATTTATTAGATTCTATAAATTTTATAAAACTTCAGTTTTCCATAGTTAAGATAGGTAAATATTTTGGTTCAGTGGTTATTATAATGTGGGTCATGATATAGTTTCAGAGAAAAAAGTGTAATTGAGAATAATTTTACTAACTACCTTTAATAGCTCCCTTTCCCTTAATATTTAAGTAAAACTATACTAAGCAAGCTATCTAATATAATGAACAATAAGTACAGTATTGGTTTCTCATGACTCCAATCTAAAAATTAAATTGAATTGAGCATTCACAATTAGAAACAAAAACTTCCATAATGTGACTGATTTTATTTATTTTTTAAAGAATTACTTATATTGATTTGTTATTATTATTATTAATATTTAATTTTCTATAGAGCACATACGTTCACTAGAGAAGATAGAGAGGGAAAGTGAGAAAGTAGGCTGCCATATCTAGGACTTGAACCACAATCGACCATGTGGGATACCAGCAGCTTAACCATCATGCCACTTGCTTTCCCTGTGGCTGTCTTAAAACCAAACTATTTGGGGGACCAGCAGATGGCATAATGGTTATGTCACTGAACTCCCACTAGTTGACTGTGGTTCAAGTCCCAGAACTGGTGCCTTGAAACTCTTGCCAAAATCCCAAGAAAAGAATGAAGAAGAGATTGTAACATGGCCATCTCCCCCCCACCTGGGAGATGATTTCCTGCTTTCTGTCTCTCTGTCTCTCCAGTGAGCATACATGCTCTATAGGAAAAAAATCTATTAAAAAAAGAAAACACAATTTGTTCATATCATCTTTATGTACATTTTTTTTTGGGGGGGAGAGGGTTTTTTTTGTTTGTTTGTTTGTTTTTTTGCTATAGGGTGCATGCGCTCGCCAGACAGAAAGAGAGAGACAGAGAGATAGAAAGAGAGAAATCACCCCCCCAGGGGGGATGCCACGCCGCAATCCCTTCTCCTCTGTTCTCCTCCCGGGATCTTGGGCACACATGCACACGCCCAGCGTGAGTTTTAAGTCACTGGGTCGGGATGCGAACCACAGTTGACTGCGCGGGAGTCCAGCAACATAGCCATTACACTAACTGCTGGTCCCTATGTAAATTATTTTTGATTCAAGTTCATAATTCGAGTTTACGTCATACCTTGGGTTAGCTTGCTATACTGGCCATACCACAGAATTAAAACAAAACATGATTTCCAGCACAAGTGACTTTTTAAAAAAAGAGTGGTCCAAGTCTCAGTTTTTGGAGTGAGAACTTGGGGACAAATTTTATTTTAGACAGCCACTAGCTGTGAGACCAAGAAATCAATTTATCTTCTCTGGTGGAAAATGTCACTACTCCTTCCTGGGTTGTTAAGAGGATGAAGTTCTTAATATGCATACAAAGCAACTAGAACAGGATATACACTGAATAAATGCTGAATAACTAGTACTGGTTTTGTTCAGTGTAATAGTTTTGTTAAAAAGATACAACACTGGCGCAAGCAGATCGCATGGTGGTTAAACCCATAGACTCTCATTTGGACAATCACACTTGCAGCCCCAGATCTGGTCGCTTGAAAATCAAGCCAGGTGCATGTTTTATGCATGCCCAAAATTCCAAGAAGAGAATGGAGAAGAGATTGTAGCATGGTCATTCCCCTTGGGGAGTTATTTCTCACTTTCTTTTTTTCTCTGTCTCACTCTGTCTCTCCAGCAAGCGTATATGCCCTATGGCAAAAACCTAAAAAAAAGAAAAACAGAATGAACATGAAGAGCAGAGATTGTCTTGAGACTTCATGTCTCTCATTCCCTATTTCTTGTCCAAGACTTTAAGACTTTGATTTTGTTGATGATTATATGGATTTAGAATGTTCTAAAACTCCACTAAGTGTGTTTTTCTTCCAAAACATGCAAATACTGTATTTAGAATAGTTTTTCTTTTTTTTGGAGAGATTTTCACTGTAGGGTGCGTGCGCTCGCCAGACAGACAGAGAGAAACATAGAGACAGAAAGTGAGAAATCACCCCCCAGGGGGGATGGCCACGTCGCAATCCCTTCTCCTCCTTTCTCCTCTCGGGCTCTTGGGCACGCACGCACACGCGCCCGGCGTGAGTTTTTTTAAGCCACCGGGTCTGGGACACGAACCGCGGTCGACTACGTGGGAGTTCAGTGACATAGCCATTACGTTAACTGCTGGTTCCTTAGAATAGTTTTTCTTTAAAATGATTAAAATAACAATATTTAAGAATTGTGAGTGGGAGAGAATAAGGGAGAGAAAGAGAAAGCATCTAGTTCTTTAGGAGAGATGTTAACATTCACAGTTCACTCCGTCGGTAACTTTAAATCCAGAAGAGTTAAAGGATAAATAATGTTAATTTTTGTGAATGCTTTTATATTTTAAAAGTAGCATCTTTTGTATTCGCATACATTAGGAAAAATATGATGTGACTACTGATAGTTAAGGAAATGTTCCACTGTAGGACAATAAAAGGCTGAATGAACCTTTCTTCTTTTCATGATTCTACAGGGATCTTCGGAACCTAGTGATTGAAATGGTTTTATCCACAGACATGTCAGGTCACTTCCAGCAAATTAAAAATATAAGAAACAGTTTGCAGCAGCCTGAGGGGTAGGTTATTTTCCTTTGCCATGTCAGAGATCCTCGGACTTGGATTCAGTAAAGATGGTAACTACTTACTTCATTCTGATCATCTGAGCATGTCCTTGGTTTGACAGGATTGACAGAGCCAAAACCATGTCCCTGATTCTCCATGCGGCAGACATCAGCCACCCAGCCAAATCCTGGAACCTGCATTACCGGTGGACCATGGCACTGATGGAAGAGTTTTTCCTACAGGTGTGTCTGTTCACACTCTGTGCAATTGTTTTTAGGAATAATGACTGTGCATAGTGACATAGAGCTTCTCTGGACAGAGTCCAGGGCTTGTAGCTTACTATTATCAGCTGGCCACAACACGGCCTGAAGTGGTTTGAAAAAGTTTATTAATCTTTCAGATATTATGTATTAAATAATCCTATATAGTGTCATATGTTGTAAGAGCATCAAGTCTTGGCTGGCAGATGCCATTTTCAGGAGAGAAAAAAAAACCACGAATTAGAATTATCTGCTGTTAGTAGGAAGTGTTAGAACACAGACAGCAAGTATTTTCTTAATATTGAGTTATCAGAACAGTTATGATGTATTTTTTCTGTTTTTCTACGCAAAAATGCATCATGCCTTTTTCAATAACCCAATACAAATGGGAAGACAAAGATATATAATATACCTTAGTGGCCAGAATTTAGGCATATGTGCATAGCTGGTGAGCATATAACTAACTTAAAAAAAAATCTACTGGAATGTGAGAAAGTAAGTCTGGATATGGGGAATGGCCAGGGTTCTCTGCCACAGCAGACCTCTTTTTTCTCCACAGTATCCCTGTTCTGTGTCAGCCCTCCCCCTCCACCTGGGGCACTGTAACAATCAGGATGCAAAGTTAGCACCGTATCCTAAATGTTAAGAGTTCAGACTTGCCTCCATTTCAGACGCCAGCCAGAGACCACAGGACACCAGCACTACTGACGATTATTAATTCAGAAGTTGCCTCAGCTCTCCCTAGGTGTGATAATTTGCTAGAACAACTCATAGAACTTGAGAAAGTGCTACACTTTTGATTACAGTTATATTTAAAAGATATCATTCAGAAGTAGCCAAATAAAGAAGTACATAGGACAAAATCTACAAAAGCCCTGGGCCCCTGGGCATGGATACTCTATGCTGTTTTCTGGAGGAGTTAGGGTGTATCACCCTTCTAGTTCATTGGTGTGTTCACCAACCTGGGACTACCACTGAGTCTCAGTGTCCAGAGTATTTATCAGGATTTTATTAAATAAACATGACTGATGAAATCATTGCTCATGTGATTGAACTCAATCTCTGCCCCTCTCCTCTTAAACAGGGTTAGACTGCCCCAAAGTTTCAACTCTTGAATCATGTGATTGGTCTTTCTGGTGACCAGCCCCCATCCTGAAGCTATGTAGTGGTCTGCCAAGAGTCATGTCATTCATTGTCAGAGCAGAGAGTCTCCTATCTCTCAGGAAATTCCACAAGGTTTTGAAGCTCTTTGCCAGATATATTTCTTATTATAGTACAGTACCAATTAGAGAAGCTTCTCTTTTATTTCTTAATTTTTTTTAATTTTTTTGAGAGGTTTTTGCTATAGGGCATGTGCGCTTGCCAGACAGAGAGAGACAGAGAGACAGAAAGCCAGAAATCACCCCCCAGGGGGGATGGCCACACCGCAATCCCTTCTCCTCCATTCTCCTCTCGGGATCTTGGGCACGCACACATGCACAACGTGCCCGGCGTGGGTTTTAAGCCACCGGGTCCGGGACGTGAGCCACGGTCGACTACGTGGGAGTCCAGCGACATAGCCATTACGCTAACTGCTGGTCTCCTCTTTAATTTCTTTGTTTTCAGTATTTATTTCCCGGTAGTATTTTTTATTTTGAATTTTAATTCAATGATTTTATACCTATTATGGAGACATAAACATCAAATGTATTATTGTATTTGGATGACTATTTCCATTTCCTATTGTCAATGGTTATGTAACTTTACTTTTTTAAAAATGTATTCAATCACTATATATAATTACAGCACGCAAAATGAATTTTCCTAGCATCAATACAATGCATATTATTCCAGTTCAAGATATTATTATATACATTATCATCAATAGATAATTTTCTACTAAATAGCATGACACAGAGGTCAGCATAGGTAGCCTGATGGTTAAAACACTGAACTTCAACAAGGCCAACTGCAATTCAGGTCCTGGATTGCTTTCTCATGGTCGCTCTCATTGACACTCACTCTCTCTCTCTCTCTCTCTCTCTGGTGATCTCACATGCCCTGTAACAAATTTCAAAAAATAATAGTAATGATATATAAAATTAAATAAATAACTTTCAAACAAAAAAAGAAAGAAGGACATCTCTAATGAGATTTGCTGAATATCATCTTCTAAATTTAAATAGTGTTATTACTGTCAAACTCACCACATTGGCCTGAGAAAGCCTCCATGCTCACTTACTTGAGTTCTTATAAGCAAGTCACAACCTAACGTAGAAGTGTTCTCTTAATAGCTGAGTCACAGCAGCTCTGCGTCAGTCAGTCACAACAGGTTTACTGTTTAAACTAGGTTCAAATATACAAACACTAAGCTGAAGCCACCCAACTATTCTCTACCTCACTTTGTTTTCTGTAGATTACTTTCCTTTTGCTGCCCATAAATATTATTCAATATGTGGCACCTCAGAGTGGTTCCCAACTAGCTATCAGGGATGCCCAATTTTGCAAACTGATCTTTGCTCAGTTAAATGCTGCTTAGCTAGATTTGTCTATAAGTTTTTTCTTTTTCTTTTTTAAAATAATACTAAAAATTGTTTGAAAAAGTGTTTTAATATTTCAATAATTCTGTGCAAAAAAAGTTGATAAAATATGAAAATATATAAAATTCTAAAGGCTAGCTGCCTTTTATGGTCAATTAAAAATGATAACTTCATATACTCAACCAATCATTAAACATAAAATGGTAAATCCAAATAGAACTTAGAGACCCTAAAGAATAACCCTCTCATATTAGAAACGAAAAAAACAGAAACATAAAGAGATAAAATGACTTTTGCCAGGTAAAGAAGATATTTTTAAATGAATTGAATGATAATGAAAATACAACATACTGAAATACTAGATTCACTAAAGTACCACTTAGAGGAAATTTTATAGCTTTAAATGCTTATATTAGAAAAGAACAAAACCATACAATTAATTATTTATATTCCTACCTAAGACGCTAAGAGAAGTTAAGAAAATGGAAAATGTTAATGGAAAAGATAATAAAGATAAAAGCAAAAGTCAATGGACTAGAACTTGTATAGCCAAAGTTAATAAATAGAACCATTTGTTCTATGATAAAGTAATGAAACTACTCGTAGGGCCAAAAAAAAGAGAAACAATATAAATAAAATCGAGGATGTTATTACAGATCCAACATACATCAAAAGCGTAAGAAATATTATGCACAATTTATGCTTAAAAATGAACAACTTACAAAATTGTCAAATTCTTTGAAATATATAATTATCAAAAACAGATGAAAAAACTATATCTGAATGTTCATATACCTGTTTTTAAAAATTGAATTAAACTCTTCTCATGAAGAAAAAATTCAATATTAGACAGCTTCAACTTAATTCTTTTTTTTTTACTTTTTAAATTTAATTTAATTTTAATTTAATGTAAATTAAAATCTATCTTTACAGTGTACAACACTGAGTTTTCCTGCATGAATACCATGCATATCCAGTCAAGATAAAGACATTACTACAGACATCATCCATCAGCAGCAAACAGCTTTACAATTTTTGTCAGTTAAACATACTTTTTAAAATTCTTCCCTTGTTCCCCTCCCTCCCTCTATTACCCACTCGTTTTACTCCTATCCTTACTTTCTCTAGTATCTACCATTGCCTTCCCTTCTATACCTTCCAAACTTTCAGTTCCTGCTATATAGCAGCGATTATTGGTATATATTTTGTGGGGACATATAAAGTCTGTCTTTCATAGTCTGGCTTGCTTCAATTAGCATTAAATCTTCCATATTTGTCCACTTTGTATAAAACATCAGAGTCTCATTTTTATGGCTGCATGGTATTCCATAGAGTACATATGCCACATCTTTCAGTCCAATTTTTGGACATTTGGATTGATTCCATGTGCTAGCAATTGTAAATAATGCTACAATAAATATGGATGTGCAAGTGCTTTTCTGACTGAGGGTTTTTTTATCCTTTTGGTAAATACTTAAGAGTGGAATCACTGGGTGGTACTGCAGTTCTATTTGTAGCTTTCTGAGGAATCGACAAAATAGTTGTACTAATTTGCATTCCCACCAACAGTGTAGGAGAGTTCCCTTTTCACCACATCCTTGTCAGAACTTATCATTATTTATTTTCTTTAAATTTTAGTCATTCTGACTGGAGTTAAGTGGCATCTCATTGTGATTTTGATTGGTTTTCCCTTATGATAAGAGATGTCAAGCATGTTTTTATATGCTTTTCGGCCATTTGTACGTCTTCAGAGAATTGTCTGTTCAGTTCATTTTCCCATCTTTTAATTGGATTGATTAATTTTGTGTGTTAGCTGCTTGAATTTCCTGAATAGTCTATCTATCAGTTCCTTATCCGAGGTAGAGTTTGAAAATATATTCTCCCACTCTGAGGGTTGTCTTCTCACTCTTCTTATTTTTTCTTTTGCTGTACAGAAGCTTCTCAGCCTATTATAGTCCCAGTTGTCTACTTTGGGGACTATTGCCTGTGCTTAGGAGGTCTTCTTTAAGAAGTCTTTACCTACTCCAAGTTCTCCCAGACTTTTTCTGGTGCTTTCCACAAGTATTCTTATAGTTTGAGATTTTATATATAGATCATCAATCCATTTTATTATTTTTTTTTTTTTAGTGATGAGAGATAAGTTTCATTCTCTTGCAGGCAGATATCCAGTTCTCCCAGCACCATTTGTTGAAGAGATTTTTTCCCCACTGGTTATCTTGTATCCTCTTTCAAGGATCAGTTGGCTGTATGTTTTGGGGCTCATTTGAGGGTGCTCAATTCTGTTCCATTGGTCTACATGTCTGTTTTTGTATCAATACCATGCTGTTTTAATTATCAAAGCTTTGTAATATGTTTTGAGGACAGGAAATGAGTTGCCACCTTCTTTATTCCCCTTGTATACTCTTGCTTTGGCAATAAGGGGCTTTTAATGCTTTTAGGTAAATTTTCTGATCTTTTTTTTTA